ACCTTCTGAAATTCAATAACTTATAATAAATTTAAAATGAGTAAATAACAGAATGATAAAATCATTATTTTATATCATATGTTTCAAATATTAAATAAAATTATTTTTATAGCAATCTTTTGAGAGGAATTCAATGGTCATAAAAAAATTGGTCAGTAAATATTTTGACCCTTTTTGAATTTTTATTTTTTCTAAAAATTAATAGATTTTGAAATCCATACGTAATTTTGTAGAAAATATGTTTTTGTATCCATAAAAAAATTGCTGAATAAAAAAATTAATATTTACAAAAGTTTTAGCATTTTAAAAAAGAAAATTGTTTTCAGGTTATGAATTTAAAAAAATATGATTATTATTAAATTTTATTATACGAAAACTCATTTGCTTTTTTTCCAACTAATTTCAGAACATAAACTTTTTAAAAAAAAATGTTTGATCGAATAATTTTGTTTTTATCACTAAACTCAAATATTAGTAATTGAAATTGAAACTTTTTTGTAAATTTTTCTGACGTGAAAGGTGCTTTCTTATAAAATTGGTTTCTAAATAATTTACATGTGTCACGTCAGAAGAATTTACAAAAAAGTTTTAATTTCAATTTAATTTAATTAATTAATTTAATTTTAATTAAAAGTTTTAACTTCAATTTAATTTCAATTTTTAATTTTTTTTACTATAATATTCGAGTTTAGTGATAAAAGCAAAATTTATTCGATAAAACATTTTTTTTTAAAAAGTTTATGTTCTGAAATTAGTTAGAAAAAAAATGAGTTTTCGTATAATAAAATTTAATAATAATCATATTTTTTTAAATTTTAACCCAAAAACTTTTTTTTTTTAAATGCTAAAACTTTTGTAAATATTAATTTTTTCATTCATCAATTTGTTTATCGATACAAAAACATATTTTCAACAAAATTACATATGGATTTCAAAATCTATCAATTTTTAGAAAAAATAAAAATTCAAAAAGGGTCAAAATATTTTCTGACCAACTTTTTTTTATGACCATTGAATTCCTCTCAAAAAATTACTATAAAAATAATTTTATTAAATATTTAAAATATTTTCTTCATATAGTTGAAAATATAGGTTTACCCTCCCCTTAATATTCAATTATATAATTTAAAATTTTAAGTGAAATTAATATTTTAATCAATTTTTACTAGAAAATTTTTCGAGAACTCAATTATTTAAATACAAAAATAAATAATTTATTAAATAATTGAATATTTCTTAAAATTGGTTTTTTATGAAGAATTTTATCAAAATTTAAAAAAATTTATTGAATTTTTTCGGCGAATTTGAACAAAAATTTTAAGAATAAAAGCAATTTTCTATCATATTTTATTTAAAATTGTATAAATAAAAATTGAAATTGTGAGGAAGAATTAAAAAATTTTTTTTTTTAAATAATTGAATTCCTGTAAAAATTGAATGTTTGGGAAGAATTTTATTAAAATTTCTTATATACATAATTGAATTGCTTCGAAGAATTTTATTTTTTACGAAAATAATTGTATTCTATGATTAATTTTATTATACCTAATCTTTTAAATTTATAAATCATTTTATCAACATTTTTTTTAAATAATTGAATTCTCGAGAAAAATTTTATTATTTATGAAAATAAAATGTTTTTAAATAATAGAATTTTTAAAAGAATTTTATTTAAATTTTTCGAAATAATTGAATTTCTCAGAACTATTTTTTTCAATTCTCTGAATATATTTGAATTCTTTCGAGAAACTTTATTAAAAAATTAAAAATAATTGAATTTGTGCCAAGAAATTCATAAAGAATTAGTAAGTAATTGAATTCCTGTGAAATTTTTATTAAAATTTTGTTCTTCAAGAATTAAGTTATTTAAAAAGAATTATTGTCAGAAATAGAAAAAATTGAAGGGTTTGTATTAGAATTCTTGACAATTTCATAGTTTATGAGGTAAGCAAAAAAGACACAAAAATTCAGAATTTTCTTATAAATTCTAAAAATTTAATTCTTTCCAGTATAACAATAATCCCTGACTTTTCCCTGAATACCCTAATTAATATTCAAAAACTAAATTGCTTCCAATTATTCGCTCCTAAATGTTCAAAATCTAAACTGCTAATTAAAAATCAAAATTACAAACTTATTTCAATCGCAGTTTTTCTAAGGATATCAAATTGAGACAAAAAACCAACCAAAAGTGTTGCGAAGCAACGTTTTAATATCTTTAGAAAAACTGATTTTAAAAGATTTGATTATTTTCCAACTTTTGAAAGTTAGAGATGATATTCGACTTCCTTTGAATGACAACTGCAAACCCCGATTTCTAATTTTTGGAATTGAAATTAAAAGTTAAAGTTAAAGTTAAAGTTAAAATTAAAAGTTGAAATAAAATATAGTTGTACAAGTTTAAATTGATAAAATTTGAAATTTTAATCCTAAGTTTCTTAAACTTTGAATCAAGCAAAATTTTACCCAATTGCAATTGTTTCAAAGAGCGCAAAGCAAAATTCATCTCTTCAGAAATTGTGAAATGATCAATAATAGTTGAAAAAGCAACACATACATGTATATATGACGAATAAATGCGATTTATTATATATCTCAATGTCACAGAAAGTAAACAAATCCCAACTGAACGCTTTCTGCTTTCATCCATCTTGAATATTGAATTGTAAACAGGATCCTGTTCATGGCAAACTGCATCCTTATAAGCATACCAGTCACGTAATATTCTACTAACGTATTAGTAATTCACATGAATGATACATACAAATCACGTATAATACTAGTTGCAATATCTATATCCTTTTATACACATTCCATTTGATTTCATTTTTCGTTTCATTCACAAACTTTACTTGAAAACTTTACTTTACACCGTCAACAAATTTTTCGAAAATCACTTTATACTCCCAATGTACTGCACACGAAAAACAACAACAAATAACAGTATATTTTTAGAAATAAAAACAATATATTTACAGAAACAACAACTATATGTCTATACAAACAGAGAAAAAAGAAAAAGAATAGATTTGTTTGGAAACGAGACCAAATTTTTGTTGAATCAACACTTTGAGAAGAGATTAATTGTGATTATAATTTTTCCCCAAAGATAATTGTTAGTCAGTAAAACATGATGCTGCTAATTTACTGATTGGGGTTACAATTTCTATTAGTAAGCCTATCTATATTAGTTAATTTATCAACTATTTTCTTTTAACTATTTTTTTTTGTTCTTCTACCTAAATTGATTCTCAAGAAACATAAACAATCAAATTACAGATAGTTTTACTTATCGAAGGCTTTTATAGTATCAAAACTTTTTCTAGGGAATCAAAATCAACTTCAATTTATCAAGGAATTCAATTTATCAAGAGTTTAATTATTATCAAAAGATGACTGTAACTAAAAAGTAACGGTAACTAATTAAAATTAGCATTACTTTACATTTAATCAAACATTTTCACGCTTCAATTAAAAATTTATCTCAAGAGGCCAAATTCTTTCTTCGAAAATAACGAATAAATTCGCAAAGAAGATTTTTCGCAAAAGTGACAATTCGTAAAAATTACGATTCGCAAAAATGGCACTTCATAAAAATGACATTTCGGAACAATAACTATTCGTAAAAATGACAATTCGAAAAAATGATTTTTTGCAAAAGTGACAATTCGTAACAATGTCGATTCACAAAAGTGACATTTCGTAAAAATGACATTTCGTAACAATAACTATTCGTAAAAAATGACTTTTCGCAAAAGTGTCAATTCGTAAAAATGTCGATTTGCAAAAGTAACATTTCGTTAAAATAACAGTTCAGATAAATACAATTCGGTAAAATGACAGTTTTTATTTTAAAGTTGAGAATTTTAAAAACTTCATTTCGACAAAGTGGTCCCTTTTCTAAAAATGTGTTTTTTAATTAATAAAACGGATTTTTTACGAAGTTAATTGTTGAGTTGAGGAATCTAGACAGGGTTGCCACAAATATTTAATTTTATTTTTCCCTGACTTTTCCCTGATTTCCAGACAAAATTCTCACTTTTTTCCTGACCCTAAAAAATATTCTGATTCACTCTAAATATTATTAGAAACTCAAAAAAATGTTCTATTACATTTATTTACAAATTTCATTAATTGTAAAATTATTCATAAACATCAATAATTTCTTTTTTAAATAAATATTTAATCATTATTATTTTTTTGTAGGAATTAAAATTCTTTAATACATTCAAATTCAAACCTTTTTGAAATTCAACAATTTATAAGAATATTATTACAAAACATGAAGATATCGATCACTCCGAGTCTTCGACTCGGAGTGATCGTCTTCTTCATGGTTTGTTATAATTTAAATTACCATGAAATTTTTCAAAAAAATTTTATTATTTACAAAAATCCTAACAAAATTCTTCGCAAGAATTCAATTATTTTTAAAAATTAGTAAATTTTCTGAAAAAATTCAATTATTTGAAAAAATTGTAATAAAATTCATTGCAATAATTTAATTATTTTCATAAATAATAAATCGATTATTCGGTAATTCATTTTTTAATCAATTTTTATTAAAAAATGCTAGAAGAATTCAATTATTTAAATTAAAAAATAAATCCTGCGATCAGTTTTATTATTTATGAAAATAATTTAATTCTTCCAACGAATTTTATTCAAGTTTATAAAAATAATTGAATTTCGGTGAAGAATTTTATTATTGTTAGATGGAAATACACTTCATTGGGTTATAACCACAAGTGAGAAGATTCCAGGTCATTAAAAATACATTTATTAATTAATTAAAGTACAAAAGTATAAGAGCTGATGAGACGCACAAACCGCGTGTTAGAGACGATGTAATCGAACTGAACTTAGGCACAGAAGGCGCCATATATATCGGATAATAAGATCGATTATCGAGAGCACTAATAGAATTCAAATTTCCAACACTCCCTCTATCGATTTGTGCTCTTTAAAATTGACATAGTAATGTAAACAAAAATATTTATTTAATTTAGACATAGCATTTCGACGTTTCGATAGTGTTTACATTTCGTTAATGGTTTCGTGAGTACATCGGCAAGCATCATATCTGTTCTGATGTAACTTATTTTTATTTCTTTATTTTCTACTAATTCGCGTGTAAAATGAAACCTAATGTCTATATGTTTACTTCTTTTGTGAAAAACACAATTTTTCGACAATTCAATGGCACTTTGATTATCACAGAACACTTTGATTGGAGATTTAGCACGCTGAACAAAACCCATATCACTTAAGAGTCTTTTGACATAAATCACTTCGCGAGAAATTTCCGACAGTGCTAAATACTCCGCTTCCATGGTAGATAATGCGACTGATGCCTGCTTTTTCGACTTCCAACTTATAGGTCCACCTGATAAAATTAGTACATTTCCAGAACATGATTTCCGATCGTCGATGTCTCCTGCCCAATCTGAGTCTGTGTAAGCTTGAAGATTTTCCTGATTTTTAATATAACTGATGCCGAAATGAGAAGTTGCTTTCAGATACCTTAAAACCCGCTTAGCAATAATCCAATGCTCTATTCCAGGATCCGAACAAAAACGACTCAAGGCGCTGGCTGCAAATGCGATGTCTGGCCTCGTTGCATTTGCTAAGTATATGAGACCTCCAATCAATTCTCTATAAGGTTTCTGACGCATGTCGTTCCTCTCATCTTCTGTTTTTGGACTCATATCCTTGGAAATTTTTGTAGATGGATCGATCGGTGTTGGAGCTTCTTTCGCCTGTTCCATGTTGAATTTTTCGATTAATTATTCAACATATTTCTTTTGTGACAGGTGTATTTTTCCGGTTGATCCTTCTCGTTTTACTGTAATTCCAATAATGGTGTTGATTTCACCTAAGTCTTTCATTTTAAATTTCGACATTAATTTTGTTTTAATCGCGTTTAATTTTTCGATCTTTTTCGAAGCTAATATTAAGTCATCGACATATACAACAATGATAACTCTGTCTTCGCCCTTGTCGAAAACATAAACGCATGGCTCCGCTGGAGTACGCTTGCCACCAATTTGTAGAAGAAAACTGTCCAGTTCACTATACCACTCTCGACCCGACTGTTTTAAACCGTATATAGATTTAAGTAACTTGCACACTTTTTCTTCTTGTCCAATTTGAATGAACATATTGGGTTGTTCCATGTATACTTCGTCGTGTAGATGACCTTGCAGATAAGCGGAGATTACATCCATTTGGTGAATGTACATTTCCTCACCTACGGCTGCTGCAAGCAACGTACGGATGGTTTCGTATCTTGCTACAGGTGAGAAAACTTCGTTGTAGTTCACACCTAATTCTTGCGAATAACCACATGCAACTAACCTTGCTTTGTATTTTTCGATTTCGTTGTTTTGATTAGTTTTCGTTTTAAATACCCACTTACTTGACAGAACTTTTTTATTTTCAGGTCGGTCAACAAGAGTCCAGGTGTTGTTTTCTTTTAAAGAATCGAATTCACTTCCCATGGCGGTTAGTCATGATTCTTTGTCATCTCGTTCCAAGGCTTCACGTGGAGTTCTGGGTTCATGGTGTTTCGTTTGGTAGATCTTCCTCGGTCTGCCACGTTTTCCTGTCCTTTCGAATGTGGGACGCCCTACTCCTCGTTTTGATTCACTTATTTCTGCTTCACAATTTTCAATATCTTGTTGCTCGATGTTTGTTTCGTTTGCGTCCACGAATTCTTCTTGAGAATTTTCTTCGTTTTCGTCCGAAGTTTCTGCTTGAGAGTTCTCGTCATCTTCGCTTTGAATTTTTTCTTCGATAAAGTTTTCGACAGTAAAGATTGGTATATTAAGAGTTTCGTTTATTAAAGTCTCGGGTGCGTCTATTGTTTCGATGAATTTTACGTCTCGGGATTTAATCACTTTTCTTGTCGTTGGCTTCCAAAGGCGATAGGCTTTAGATTCACTTGAGTAACCTACTAATAAATATTCGTCGCCTTTCGGTTGAAATTTTCCTCTTCTTTGACCTTTGTTTAGGACAATTGCTTTGCTTCCTATCGTTTTAAAATATCCGACGTATGGTTTTTGATTAGTCCACGCTTCCAGAGGAGTGATACCGTTGAGACATTTTGTGGCACTTCTATTTCGGAGATACGTCGCTGTATTTATCATTTCGGCCCACAATGAATTTGGGAATTTTCCTTGCAGCATTAGACATCGTGCCATCTCTACGAGCGTTCGATTGGCACGCTCGGCCACACCGTTTTGTTGGGGTGTGTATTCGACACTTAACTGGTGAACAATTCCTTCCTCTCTCAAAAAATTTTTAAACTCGTTTGATAAATATTCTTTTCCATTGTCTGTGCGTAACTTTTTGATTTTTTGACCGGTTTGTTTTTCGACTCGACGTTTATAATCCTTGAATATCTGTAGAACTTCAGATCGTTTTCGTAGCATAGCTGTCTCTGTGTATCTGGAACAATCATCAATAAGTGTCACAAAGTACTTGGCGCCGCCGAGTGATTCACAGTCTATCGGCCCACAAATGTCAGAATGAACCAAGCCTAGTAACACTTTTTCGCGATTTTCTGATGATTTGAATGGTTGGACATTAATTTTACACTTTGCACATATTTCACACTTTATTTCACACGATTTTGATGTAAATTTCATACCGGATACCATTTCCTCAAGTTTCATTTTTTTTAAATCGTTGATGTTTACGTGTCCGTAACGCTGATGCCATTTTTGTAATTCACTGGTTTCGTTTTCACTTAAAAATGACACTGGTTCTTCTTTTTCATCGATGACATATAGTTGATTTTGTTTCGTTGCCGTGACTGCTGTAGAACTGTCTTTCCGATTTATAAAAGCTCGATTTTTGTCAAATGTGACCGTATATCCGTTTTCAGTAACACTCGAGACGGATAGTAAATTGTTTCGAAGTTCGGGAACGTATAATGTATCTTTCAATTTCACAGGGTTCACTGAGTGGGAATTTAGTTTAGTATTTAAATTCACTTCACCGGCACCAGGGGATTCTACAACGTGTTTTGAAGCTGTGTACACTTTTGATTTGTCACTTTTGTTGAGAAAAGAAAATTTCTGATCGTCATTACACATGTGTCTCGTCGCGCCACTATCGAGGAACCACACTTCTGATTTTGCTTTGCACTCGGTATTGTACGCGATTGCGATCATTGCATCACTCATATTTGTTTCAACACGTTTCGATTTACTCCGACAAAATCGACTTTTATGCCCAATCTTACCACAATTGAAGCACTTAAAATTGAACCTCCGCGTATTTATTTCCACGTTGTTTTGTTTTGAATTAGAATTTGATTGTTTACCCTGTTCACTATTGTATCGTTTTGTTAATAACGCGTCACATTTATCCTTGTCATCGTTTGTTTTCGCACTTTTATCATGTTGTCTCGCTTCCTCTTCAATAAGTTTCACTTTCAGATTTTCGAGTGTCGGAATGTTATCACGAGATTCAATTGCGATACAGAAGTTTTCGAATTCGTTAGGTAAAGAACCTAACAACATTATCGACAGTAGGTCTTCAGGAATTTTAATTCCTGCTTCTTCGAGTTGCTCTGCTTTGTGGGTAAAATCGGTAACATATTGCGTGATGCTATCATTTGTCCTTTTTTCTAGGCGTAACAACTGTTTGTATAAAACAGCCTTTCTTACAGGGCCTCGGGATTCGTACACTAACTTTAAAGCGTCCCATGCTTCCTTCGACAATGTAGCTCTTTTTACGTGATTGAGCTGACCATGGGTGACACTTAAAGTTATCATTGCTAGTGCTTTACTGTCCTTTTTAATCCAATCTTCAGCGTTTGCCGCTGGCCTCAACTCGGTACCGTCAACGTATGACCACAATTCGTTAATTATTAACACGCTTTTCATTTGAACTTTCCACAGGTCATAATTTTGTTCGTTTAGTTTTTCAATATTCGTAAACCCGAGCGCGCTAGCCATTTTCGCGTTGTGTCGTTTTAACAAAACCGAATTTCACTCTTTATACTTATTATTGGCGACCTGGGCCCATAACCTGTTAGATGGAAATACACTTCATTGGGTTATAACCACAAGTGAGAAGATTCCAGGTCATTAAAAACACATTTATTAATTAATTAAAGTACAAAAGTATAAGAGCTGATGAGACGCACAAACCGCGTGTTAGAGACGATGTAATCGAACTGAACTTAGGCACAGAAGGCGCCATATATATCGGATAATAAGATCGATTATCGAGAGCACTAATAGAATTCAAATTTCCAACAATTATTTATAAAAATAATTGGATTCTTGAAAAGAACTTTGTTAAATTTTTTTTAAATAATTGAATTCATGCGACGAATTTTATATAAAAATCTTTTTAAATAATTGATATTTTTCGAAGAATTTTATGAAATTTTGTATATTAAATAATTGAACTCATGTGAAAATTTTATTATTTATGAAAATAATTGAATTATTTCCAAGAAATTTATTAAAAATTTTATAAATTATTGAATTCCTGTGAAATTTTAACAGGAATTTTATTCAAGTTTTTAAAAATAATTGAATTTTGAAGAAGAATTTTATTATTTATAACAATAATTGAAATTTGACGAGAATTTAAAAAAAAAATTTTTAAATAATTGAATATTAAAGAATTTTATTATTTATAAAGATAATTGAAATTTTGATAAGAATTTTTTTTAAATTTTTGAATATAATTGAATTTCTACGAAGAATTTTATTACTTTTAAAAATAATTTAATTCTTCCAACGAATTTTATTCAAGTTTATGAAAATAATTGAATTTCAGTGAAGAATTTTACTATTTCTAAAAATAATTGAATTCTTGAAAAGAACTTTGTTAAATTTTTTTTAAATAATTGAATTCATGCGACGAATTTTATAAAATTCTTTTTAAATAATTGAGGCCTTGGATCCAATAACTCGCCCGACGAATTCCTGTGCAAATTTTATTATATTTATGAAAATAATTGATTTATTTCGAAGAAATTTATTAAAAATCTTGTAAATTATGGAATTCCTGTGAAATTTTGATAAGAATTTTTTTAAAGTTTTTAAAAATAATTGAATTTTGGAGAAGAATTTTATTATTTTTAAAGATATAATTGAAATGACCAGAATTTTTTTTAATTTTTGAATATAATTGAATTTTTGTGAAAAATTTTATTAATTTTGAAAATAAATGAATTTTTGAAATTATTTGTAACTTTTCCATAAATTCAATTTTTTTAGTATTTTTAACTAAAATTCTTTTATCAATCTAATATTTATAAAAATTGTAAAATTGATTCATTAAATAATTTATAAGTCATAATTTTATGATAGTTCTTGTAAAATTAAGTTATTAAAAAAGAAATTATTGTCTGAAATAGAAAAAATTGAAGGTTTTGTATTAAAATTCGTGGTAATTTCATAGTTTACGAGGCAAACAAAAAAACATCAAAATTCAGAGTTTTTTCATGAATTTAAAAAATTCAATTTTTCCAGTACTTTTACTAAAAATCCCTGACTTTTCCCTGACTTCCCTGACCAATTTTACTTTCCCTGACTTTTCCTTGAATTCCCTGATCTGTGGCAACCCTGCTTGAACCGACAAAAAGTGGTTCCTTTTCATGCGGACGTCCACATATTTATTAATTCCGTTAAATATAAGTAAAATTTGCTAAATATAAGCCAATATTGCTAAAATTCAATCTATACATAGAATTAACTGAGAGAAAAACAAAATTAAAAGCCTACTGCATGCACTCGAATTA